ACGGTAATAACAGTGATTTATTTTTTGAATAATTTTTTACGGTCCAACTTCGTGAATTTAATTTTTGTGACGAGCAGAATTTTTCTAACAATTTTTGAATAAAATTGGTTGGAAATTTTATACAGTTCCGTTTCCAATCGAAAAGTCACTGGATTTCTATTCTACGGTAGACAGAGTGTTCGGCCAACCCTGGGAAAAATTTTAATGGGGGATTCTAGAGGCCAAAATAGGACAAAAATCGAGAATACCAATTTGTTGATGGAGGCTTCGTTAAAAAGTTATTAACATTTAAAGTTCAGCTCGTAATGAATTTTTTTCTCGAAAATGCGCAGGATTTCGGGGGTATGTTTATTCACCAAAAATGATTATAATGGGCCCCTACAACCAAAAATAATTTTTTTAGTACGATTTGAAATTTTTTAATTTTGCTGAAAAATTTCACAGCTTCTCGAATTTTTTTCTCGAAACTGAGTAGGATTTCAGGGATATACCTATTAACCGAAAATGATTGTAATTGACCACTGCAGCTAAAAATAATTTTTTTAGAACGATTTGAAATTTTTTAATTTAATTGTTAATAACTTTTTAACGAAGCCTCCATCAGCAAATTGGTATTCTTGACTTTCGTCTTATTTTGGCCGCTAGAATCCCCCATTAAAATTTCTCCCAGATATGGCCGAACACCCTGTTATAAATCTTCGATACGATCAAATTACCAGCGACTCTTATAGAGGGAAATTAATTTCATGGGAACTAGCCAAACAGAGAGCACAGAAATATTACTAAAAAATCGAATACAGTTTTTCATTTCATTATCCAGTCTCCATTTTCTCATCGAGCAAAAAAAAATTTCTTTTATTCGATTTGTCGATATCAAAAGATCATATTTCTGCTACCAAGCGACTCTTATAGAGGCAAATTAATTTAATGGAATGTAGCCAAACGGAGAGCACAGGAATACTAGTGAAAAATCTATTAATATATTGTTTTCCCATTTCATTATCCAGGTTCCATTTTCTGTCGTGCAAAAAAATTTCATTTGTTCGGTTTTTCGAAATCGAAAGAGAGTCTGGTTACTTGGCGTGTGTCGATTTTAACGAATCGCGGTTGCCCGAATTTTATGCTTCTTTTAGTGGCGCGCGTGTTCGAAGAGAGAAAAACGTCGAATCGCGGTTTTTGTCGTTTCATCTCGCCCGTGGAACGTGATTCAATGGGACCGTGAGTGAAAATCGCGCTCATTGTGTCGGTGAAAATTCGCTGTAACGAAACATCGACAAACGAAGCGACGCACGAACCGAGGGGCCCTCGAGAAGCGACTCTTTTGTTATCGCGACTGAAAATGGCGGACCACTGCCAATTAACGAAGTACAAGCACGTAAATTAAATTGTTTTCGACGATTTACGATGGTAAATTAGTTCCGTGAAACTCCCGCGAAAAGCAATAATTAACCTTTGTGCTTATAACGATCGCGTAAAATAAACATTTATTTGTATTTCTTTCCTAAAAAGTAAAATATTGAAGGCAAAATAAAATAATTTTATATCTAATGTACATGTTGAGATAGCCTGTTGATTTTATATTTATTTTTTTTTTCTCGCCAATTTAGTCAAAATCGTTCGAATCTCAGAATTTGCAAAGCCAAACACGAGAAAAGCGACGTCGAAAAAAACTTTTCTATTCTCACGAATTTTCACACGAAGATCGTTCCACGACGATTTTCAAGATCCACCCAACGTCTTCAAAGTGATTCGGAACTTTCGTATAACTAGATCCCATACAAATTTGCAGAATAGCCCGGCAAAAGGTGAAAAGGAGAGCTCGAAAGCTCCTCGAGGTCTTTTCAATCTTCATCAGAAGTATTAGTTCCTTTCGAGATCGAGATCAAGATCTCGAACGTCTCCGGAAGTCGAGTGACGCGGCGACTTTCCCGCCGACCGAGTTCGATACTATTTTCCTACAACGATCGGTGGTAGCTGGAAATCGAAATTATTTTTGTACCAGAACTGTCGATGCAACGATTTTCAAACGCCTTTTCTAACTTTATTCCCAAAACCATAAATTTGTACTTTACTGTAATAATAAAAATTATACTTCAGGCTTTAATTAACAATATTAGAATTTTGTATCTATTTTTCCCTCTGGGATCTTTATTTGTAATTTATTTATCAAGAATTCAACGAACGAATGCTGTGAACCATGGGGGTCACCGGTGACCGTCGCCTTGAACTCTTCAAAATACGAATACTGACACTTGCAAAATTTTAAATAACATTATTATCGGTTGAGAATATTATAAAATATGGAATATATCATTCTACTTATAAATATTTCTATTTTTCGCGATTCGAGCAAAAGTCGAGTTCTGATTCACGAACTGTCATGGCGGCAGAGTTAAATATTTAGAATGATATGTACGAAAGCTACTTGGGGAATTTATTTCGTATCCATTTCTCCAATTTATTTATCAAGAATTCAACGTACGAATGCTGTGAACCATGGGGGTCACCGGTGACCGTCGCCTGGAACTCTTCAAAATACGAATACTGACACTTGCAAAATTTTAAATAACATTGTTATCGGTTGGGAATATTATAAAACGTTCGACTTACAAATATTTCTATTTTTTGCGATTCGAGCAGAAGATGAGTTCTTATACACGAACTGTCATGGCGGCAGAGTTAAATATTCAGAATGATATGTACAAAAGCTACTCGGGGAATTTATATCGTATCCATTTTTCCAATTTATTTATCAAGAATTCGACGAACGAATGCTGTGAACCATGGGGGTCACCGGTGACCGTCGCCTGGAACTCTTTAAAATACGAATACTAACAAATTGCAAAATTTTAAATGACATCACTATCGGTTGAAGAATATTATAAAACATCGAATATATCATTTCACTTATAAATATTTCTATTTTTTGCCATTCGAACAAAAGATGAGTTCTGATGCCCGAACTGTCATGGCGTCAAATATTTGCGTTCAACGCAAGGAACAATTTGGAGAGGAAAAGCTTCACGGGGAATTTATTTCGAGTTCCTTGCGCCTGTTTACGTGGATTAATGGCGGATTAACAAAGTCCACCGCGTTGGAGTAGTCCCTGGGTTAAGACTTTAAGCGCTGCCTTCAGCAATTAATTTCGAGTGGATCTCCGGTTCCAGAGAAAAGGGAAGAAAAAGGGGGGGGGGGGCGGCAAACAAACTTCCTCTGACACTGAAAAAATAAACAACCGACGGTAAATTATCCGCTAGCCGCTGCTCCCGCGTGGTAATTACAGCGAAATTAGCGAAACATCGTGGTCAAAGGGTGGTGGGGGGGACGAACTCGAGCGCAAAGGGATGAAACATTTCGCGCTCTTTTCTAGCTTTTTCCACTATTCTTTGAACGCTACTAATTTGTACACATTCTGTTCCCAGCCTCGATGATGGAAAATTTTTCGAAAAATATTTAATTATTTATTTCCATTAATTTAATTGTTATGACTGATATTTGAAAAACAAATTACTCGAGATTTTGTTGTTCATTTTATCGAATACTTTCGGATCGGTTTCACCCCCTGTTGTTAGATAAAAAAGTTTGCAATCATATTAACGGAAAATTTTAGCGAGAACGTCGTCAGAGCTGCACAGCGATTTTGCTTTGAGTTTAAATTCTGTTAAAATTTCACGTCATGTCTTGCGCGATTTTCCTGTTTATGTCACGGAACAGTTTGACGGCGAAAAACACGTTTGATCGAATCGACGTCAAACTTTATTTAAACAATATTCGCGCCGAGTCCGAATTCCGACGCACGTTGTTTATTTATAATAATCGAAGGCTAGATTGTTTGTCTAGGATTTCACCCGAAGTAGAAAAATATTTTCCTGTTATTGTAAAACGATGGTTAATAATTATTTATTTCGGTGTACTGTTTCGTAATTCCAAGAAAAAAATAGAAATTCATTTATTCGAGAGGGTCAAAAGAAACGAACTAATTTTCAAAAATTTTGCATCAAATAAAATTGAGATATTTTCTAGTCGCTGTCAAAAATATCAAAAATAAAAATTCTCAAATGATAAAAAAATAATAAAAATAAAATTTAATTTAGTAAATAATAAAAAAATTTCTAAGAATCTAGGGGAGGAGAAATTTGTTCAAGATTTATTATTTCTCCGAGAGCTGCAGAGAATGTCTCTCGAACGTTCCGTAACGCGATAATGGACGCGAGACAACGGAAGTCCCGTGGAACGATCGGGGGATCGAGAAAGTCCTCGACGTGGCACCGGCGGGCGTCGAGGCGAATATTCAACGGCGACGAGGACGAAGAACAACGTCTAATTCCGAAAGATAGACGGGTTCACGAGCGTTTGCTTCGTTAATGACGACTGGCCGTTGTGGACTAACGAGGACGCGGCCCGTGACGGCGTCGAATATCGACGAGAACGACCGAGATACGCGACAAGTGGATGAAATACGCGCTCCGTTTCGGACCAGTTATACCGATTTCGGTAGCCAACGAGCCCGCCGCTGGCATCGTTGGCTCCCGGGGCTTTCGAAATAGATTTTGGAGAGGCTCATCGACGCTCCACGCTATTCTATTTTTTTTTTTTTTTTTTTTACTTCGTGCACAGAGCTTCTTAATATAATCCCGGAACACCAAACGAGGCGATTTTAACATTTGGACAACGACGAGGGTTGCAAAAAAGCAGGGAAAACAATCGCGTGAAATTGTAAAATAATAGAAAAGGGAAAATTAAAAATTTAATTTAGAGGGATTTTTTCATAATTTCGTAAAAGTTTCTAATGCCTCGTACGACATGGAAAACACATTGGATTTAATGGAATACGAATTTAGATTCTGCAGGGGATATTTTCTTGAGAATTAGAGGCTATTTCTGATCGAATCTGGTAATGTTCGACGATAATATATTAATTATTCGAGATAGTGGGATTTGGAAATTCGACTGGAATAAATGTAATTTTTATCTATTATTGGTGTTTGAGGCTCTCTCACCTTCTTCAAATCCTTGCTGGCATCGGCTTCCTCTGCCTTCCGCTTCTCGGAGATCTTCGGCGTCGGGACGGCGATCGTCGCCTCCCGCAGAGGTTTCAGATCAACCTGAAACGGATGATAAATCCACTCAGTTTGCGATTAATATTAATATACACAATTTTCTGTTTGTGATATAACATTATCACTTTTTTTATATCAATTAACACAATTATTTTAATTATATAATTAACAAAATTACTTTAATTATATTAACAATTACCAAACTCGATAAATATAACCCGACAATGTATATCAGTACAGAAATAATTCAAAGAACAAAGAGACTAGAGAGAAAGAGTTTTTTTTTTCTCCGGAGCGGTCACCACCCATCCCGTATACTGCACGCGGCCGAATGATGCTGCACTTCGATGACCGCACGAGGACCAGCGTTCCCAACGCGCTACGGCCAACGACAAGTAAATATGCAGTATACTTTGCTTTTCAACCGCCACAACGACGTTACCAAATAATTCATACATGTCTGCATGTATCGTGTAATATTACAATATTAATTTAACGAGCTGCAAACACGAACAGGTGATTTATTCGTTAGCCATTACATCAAAGTGAATAATAATTTAAAAAAATATAATGCAGAATGCATGATAATGTGGCTTATAAATTCGAACGTTATAACATTATACAAATGTTGACCGATAAATTTACGCATGTTAAATTGTATATTTATTAAAAAGGACTCAAGTAAACAATTTCAAACGAAACCTTTATTCGAGAAATGGTGAATTTGAGGTGCAACGCTCGCGTCGAGGCACGGATAGAGTTACGTTCGACGCGTTTCGTTTTCGCGTAGACTTCGGTGGGCCACCGTGGGGCGTCGAGGCGAGGCGTCGTCGCCCATTGTGCGTGCCCCGTTAATGCGGTCGCGGCCGAAGGTTCCGGGGCGCATCGATTCACGCTAATCGGTTTAACCCGTCGCTGCTTTGCGAGCAGCCCCGCACATGCTAATTTCTCGTTAACAGGACGACCAAATAGAGAGAGACGGACGTCGATTTAGTGGTACGGTAATTCGACCGGAGCTTAATGGCGCAAATCGACGAAAGGCGAGTTAATCGATGACGCGAATCGCGTTAATATAATTAGATGTCGCGATCTTTCCTACTCGCGCCCTTTTCGAGCAACAATTTTTCCTCAATTTTTTATCGCCATCCACGATAAAATGTTTTTCTTCTGCCTTCAACAAAACATTTAGTATTTTATTGTAACTGTTGGTGTTTGTAGGTTCGAACAACGTTCTTCACCCGGATTAAATAAAAGATTGCAAGATTTATTTATAAAATAAAGTATAAAATAAACAAAATATTTATAAAATATTATAAAATAAAAATAAAATATTTATAAAATAAAGTATAAAATATTATAAAATAAAATACAGCAGTACAATACGTGGTGAGACTTTAGACGACAATCCAAGGAGAGACTAGAAGCAGTGAGGGGCAACCATACCCAGAAATAAAAATAGGACGATTTGCATGTTCAACACTAACATAATTCTAACATAATTAAAAAAATAATTTTTGCACCCCTGAAATAAATTATTTTTAGTTAAAAAACTAGGAGATTATATACACAGTTATTTTAATTATCGTAAATATTCTGCTTCGTAACCGTAATTCTAAAATAATTCAAAAAATAATTTTCGAACTCCCGAAACAAATTATTTTTAGCTCGCGTGAGAATCTATGAGAAATCGTATACACAGTTATTTTAATTATTATAAATATTTTGCCTCGTGACTGTTACCAGGAAAATCAAAATGGCGGGCACCAGGAAAGCGGGTATTTTCGAAGTATAAATATTCCGAAATACGTGACTCGAAAATCGCACGGTGTTATGGGGGATTGTTACGAGTTAAGGTTGGTAATATTTCAGAGGAATCTGATCGAAAAGAGGGGAAAATCAGGGGAAAAGAACCATGATCTTAGTCCTTCCAGGATCGTTCTGCACAGCACGCGTTCGAGCTCCCAAAGTATAAACGGTCCCTTAATTGTTCGAAGCTATGCAAAATTAATAAATGCGTTTAACGAGGGTCTCCGTTCGTCGACCTGTGTGATCGCGGGCTCGAAGGTCGGGGCGTTCGAGGGGGACGCGAGAGGTCGACGATCCAACGGGACGACTCAATTTACGACGGGGCCAGGCTACGAAAAGTTCCACGGGATGGCAAATAGCGGTAATTAGGTGTCGAAGTTCTAGTGGCGGGTTCCGGGACGAGAACGCCACCGTGAAAAGATTAATGGGTCGAAGATTTTAACGGTCCGGCGGGAGAACCAGGCCCTGGAAATTAACTTGGTTATTAAACCGTGGATAAGCGAGATTTCATTATGCCGGGAATTTCGAGAGCTCGGCCTATGGTAATTAAAAGGCGCCTTCCCACTTTTCCAAGACCCCTCGATGAACTCTACAAGCTCGATTTTTTGATAGTTTTTTTTTTTACGTCAGAGTATATCCGGGGCACATTTTTAAATTATACAGAGTATACATGATGAGAGTTTTGCAAAATTCACGTTTCATTTTTGTTTTCTGATATTGCATAGTTTGTTAAGGATTTCTTTTAAGTGTTGTTAGAATATTTTTAACATTTATTAATTAAAATTAATTAAAAGGCGCCTTCCCAGTTTTCCAAGACCCCTCGATGAACTCTACAAGCTCGATTTTTTGATAGTTTTTTTTTTTACGTCAGAGTATATCCGGGGCACATTTTTAAATTATACAGAGTATACATGATCTGAGAATTTTGCAAAATTCACGTTTCATTTTTGTTTTCTGATATTGCAGCGTTTGTTAAGGATTTCTTTTAAGCGTTGTTAGAATATTTTTAACATTTTATCGAGAATTCGTGTATGTATAGAGTTCGAGTTATTTTTGTTTTTGCTTTTATGTTTGTATTTTCGGATTATTTCGATTTACTGTCGTCACGCGTGTCGCTATTTCGTTCCAAATGTAACGTATCCTCGAATTAATTGTGGAATACCGTTTCTGGGTCACTCAGGCGAACGAACCATATATCAGGACCAAAATACTGTGCATTTGGACTAGGCTTAATAACAGCCATGCTGAAGCACGGCTTTAACACCGCGCTGTGCATGAATACAATTTTCATACGGTGCGATATAAAAGTAAAATAAACTCTGAATCCTTCAAATTTGGTATAAAAATACACGGATGACTATTTGGTGACGAGTAAAATGCAAACGATTCTGTATTCGTTACTGTTTTCATAAAAACAAAAATCATAGAACGATATTATATTTTATATCATAAGAAAAAATTAATTAATATTACTTTTGGAGATCAAAATACTACAAATAAAAATAAAAATATTGAAAATATCCAACAGAAATTCCTTCTTACAAACTTTCAGTATTAACCGCGTCACTCAATGGAGTAACCTCTTGCGCATCTGCCTTGCGCATCATGGCGCCCAAACGAAGATGGCGCCTATCTGCCCCATCAGCTGTTGTGAAATTTTGTTTTCGACTGTTACTGAATACAATAGAAAGAAAGAAATAGTTATCGATCAAAACTTCACCGTTTTTTCTGATTCGTTTGCAATCAATGAACCTCAATACTTGTAAACTTTTAAGCAACTTTACTACTTTGTAGGTTTATTAAATAACAAGTAATTAACCTCGTTCAATATTTCCAATTTTCTACATGCTTCTTTTTTCGACTGTCACTGAATACAATAGAAAGAAATAAATAATTATCGATCAAAATTTCACCGTTTTTTCCTGATTTGTTTACAATCAATGAACTTCAATGCTTGTAAACTTTTAAGCAACTTTACCACCTTGAAAGTTCCTTAAAATAACAAGTAATTAACCATATTTCCAATTTTCTACACGCCGTGATTCGAAAAATTTTGGAATTTGGAAATATTTCAAATCGATTGATTTCACTATAACTCAGGATTCTGAATCGCACAAACGATTAATAGCCATCGTGATAAATATATAATGTATGGACGGAACAAATTTTTTTTATACAGTGAGTATAGCTCGGGGGCATTCTTTATGGATCCATGCAATATATCACACGATTCGTTTCGCGAAATATCTTTCTTCCAAAGTTATATCAGCCTCCGTACGATCGTACGAATTTTTCCCAACAGTGGATCAACTATCGCCATACCGGCGCGCGATATTCGCATCCAGCGTTCCGTTAAACGGGAGATAAACTCTTTCGATTCGCGCCCCCGTTTTCACAGGCGTGATTTATTTGCTGGGCGGCGATACGATTCCGTCCACGGCGATCAGATACAGCTGGTACATCCAGTCCCGTTATTTCATCGCTTCTCTCTACCATCTAACTAACTATGACAATTTATTTACGATTACGAATTTTTTCTCACGATTACACATCTGTATGAACGTGTATATAGACAAAATTAAATTTTTTTACAGGAACAAATAGCGACTAATATCTATTTTTTAATATAAAATATCCTCAAAGTTGGAATGACGAATTTTATCAAAATAAATTATTGATGATTTTGGTATCGTTAATCAAACCGAGAAAATGTCGAAAATTCAACGAGAAAAATTGCAAACGTTCTTATCTTTGCGAGATTTGTATGTGTTTTTTTTTTTTGTAAATTTAAACAAACTCGTTGAATTCATAGGTACTCTGCGTTTCAAAATGGAGTCGTTCCTTTGATAGAACCCAAAATTTAAATACACTTATTTAAAAAATTAAATAAATATAAAGCCTTCATCGAAGAATTTTATTTATTTTTAAATTTAAATATACTTATTTATATACTTATTACAGATCGAAAATCTTGGCTGGTGAATTATAATTCTTCGTCGAAGAATTTCATTTATTTTTAAATTTAAATATACTTATTTAAATTGAATAAAATAAATTCAATCCAATTAAATTGAATTAAATTTATTTTTTAACGAAGAAGCTTTTCGTCGAAGAATTTTATTTATTTATAAATTTATTTTTAAATAAGTATATTTAAATTTGAAAATAAAAATAAAATTCTTCGACGAAGGTTTTATAATTCGCCAGCCAAGATTTTCGGTTTGTTTGTGTTTGTTCCT